CAGCGCGAGATCCAAGAAACCAAGCAACAAACATCAATGCTGGTCCCGTTCCCGCTACCGGTCCGAACACCGCTACTCAAAACCAGTCATTCAAACACAATTGATCCAATAAGAATTCTTACGCCCAATGTAGTTCGTCTGCCGCCAACAGTGGACATTACGGAGAATGACATCATCTTCACCAAAATGATCGTCACTCAATGAGGGAATTCCCACCGCACTTTGTAGCGTTTACTATCCGACATTGACCTCAACCGATATAAGTTCCGTGAGACGGAATAAAAAAAACGAACTGGATAGTCAGTCCCCAATGCTAGGCTGCGAGCTCAACGCTTCGCACAAACCACTGAAAGGCGGTGGTTCATTGCTGTACCTACGCTGGTCATATGGGACAAGCGGGTTTAGCAAATATCTCGTGAGGAGTGTACCAACAATCAAATCAATTTTGGAGTTTCGACAGTCTACCGTAACTCCCGTTTACACAGGCTTTAAAACCAGGACTTCAAGGTCAGACGATCCAGGCCTCTTGTTGACTGTCTCAGTGGCAACGCTAGCCTCGACACAGTCCCAGGACATAAGCCATCGTTATTAATCATGTTGGTGTGTACGCAGCAAATAAACTGACGGGCTATCCGATTTGGGCGTGTCGGATATGCCGGATTCAGCGGAATCCACCGCGAAAACCTTGCGCTAATACACTGTTGATGACGGTGGAAATTCATCTAACCAAGTGAAAGCTGTATTGAAATCCGCTGTGGAATGGCCGCTTTGTGTTTGAGTTGAAAAAAAAAATTTCCAGCTCTTTGAATTCACAAAATTTGATGGAGTCCTTTATGATATTAAAGGGGTGTATATTTACTAGCCAAAAGGCGGAAACCGCTAATTTGAAACCGCTAAATTAACGTATCGGTATGTGATGAACAATCGGAGTGATGAATTGCCGTCAAATTTACAACCTAGACCATAAACGTTAGTCATAAAGGGTAATCCGTATGTTTCACCGGCACTAGGATATACAACAGGTCCGTTTAGATGGTCCCGGCAACGAGAATGCTCAAGGATATCAACCCATTCTTGAAAAGTACCGACTTATGTTTAGCACTAGAACTTCGGAGCGATGCGTATAACAGTTAGACCAAACTGAGCATAGTACAACAAGATAGCCGAAAAAACAAAACAGCTCCGAAAGTTTCAGAGATGTTTGGTAAACAATCGGTGGATTTATTGCTGGGTAACGCTTCGCTTTTGACACAAAAACTTCGTCAGGTTAAGTGAGTAAGTAAGTAGGTTGATTGGGTTTTAAGGCAGTCAGGGAACCAGGTCGTGAGCTTACTTATGACTAGCCGACCTGATCAGTGCTGTGTTCAGTCTGATGTTCCTGTTTTTTTGGTCAGTGGGGATCACTAACATTCACGATAGATTGGTTAGGGGGAGGGGGGAATTTGTCTTCATGATGAACCTGGATTCCTCGTCCTTGCTTTCCCAGTCTAGGAGACCTTAATGGAAAATTCTTCTTGGGGTCGTTCACAGATTTCGTTCACCTGTGTTCGTCAAAGGGTGCCGGGACAATTGGTTTTGGGATGGGGGTGGTCAATTGGATTTAACTCTACTTGAATTCTGTACTTTTATACCCAGACGATTTCGCTGATAACTGCACACCACCTCGTCTCATCTCGGCTGATCTAAGACAGCTCTCCACACGTTTGCAAGTTATACCCCATCTGGGATGCTTGGCGATTTTCACCGCTTTGGCCACCAGTCGCTGTGGCGTGGATCTTAAACCCCAACTCAGGATGCGTAACCCAGCATGGCTAATCCCATGTTCGGGGGCGGGATGGCTCAAGTGGTTAGAGCGCGAAATTACTGATCGGAAGGTCCGTGGTTCGAATCCGCCCTCTGCCTCTCGACTTCCCCTGTCTAAGCTTGAGCAACCTGACAGTATCCCAGCCCTCGTGCTTCCTTCGGGTGGCATGGCAGCTAGGCACCGAGAGAGCGCTACAGCTGAACGATTATTATTATTATCATTATTATTATTAGTAGTATTTTGTTTAATTCCATGTTCCCGTACTACTGCAGTGTACACCTTACGTTGGACAAACAAACTGACGTTACATCGGCGTCATACATGTCGGAGGTTGGCAAAAGTCGATCTGAAAGCTCCAAATGAAAGTCAAGATTTCAGGCCGACTGCGAGCGCACTTTTGCGAAGCTACTCAACCTACTCTATAGAATTCGAGCTCGAATACTGTCGGCTGAAATACAAAAAAGAGGATTTTTGGGTGCATTGTTCGGAATGTTTAGAAAAAGTACCCTTAACATATTTTTGGTAGAGCCAGTACACTCCATGTACGCCGTCCAAATAAATATTTCATTTTTTAATAGTGGATAGCGTGCAAAACGAGAAACTCCCCATGGAAAAGTGCACTGAGAATTCATTGGTGTGTTACGGGGGTGTGTAGGTGTCAAGGTCGTCCCGAGTAATCGATAAACGAGGTTCCTAGGTGAGAACTGTGTTGACTGTGGTACAAGACTTTCGGTGGGGGGGGGGGGAACAATCAATGGTTTTAACACGCGGAATCGGCTTAAAGATTGTCGACTGCTAATCCATAACCTTGGTACTACTCACCTTCCATGATGAGGACCACGAGATCTCCACTGCGACTGGTTGGAGACTCTACAAGATATGGCTGCCAATCGATGTCAGTGGCGTTATTGTTGTCAGTTTCTATCCAGATTACCTGAATGATTGTCTGAAGGTGTAGACACCTTGGAACGACTGTAGTAAGCTAGAATTAGATCCCTTCCCCATCCATATCTACTCTTTTCATCACAATAAGGCTTTCGAATAAATCGTGGTTGTACGGCAGCGAAACATCAGTGTTGAACACTGATGTTATGCTGTCCATGATGATGATGACGATGAACGCTGCTCTCCAATGTATAGAAGATCTGCAAGCAATATCTGTGCTGGCAAAAAATCTCAGCTCCACTTCATGCTACCCAACCTTGGATCCTTCGTGTTCCTCATTCGATCCGATGGGTTGCTTGACAGTTTGCTCCATATCGATGTCACGCATGATTTCAAAGGGAACACCTTTGATTGGACTGCTGATTTCTGTCGTTCCAAGCCGATCCTCCCAGTGCCGATCGACCTACCCTACGGACATTCTCTCATAAAGTTCCTCGAGCTCAATGTGGCCAAGTAGCGGCTGGGTTTGACAACCACTGAGTAAACTTGATCGACTGCTGCTTTAAAATGAGTTGTTTGCATTCGGATGCATATGATGCCCTGTCTTATTCTCACATAGCACGCTCATTCTCTGCCGCACAGACACAGTACAGCTGAAAGTATGTCAGCCAAACGAATACGTGTGACAACGTGAAAATGATGGACTCAAACGTCTGTAATGCGAGAATTACTAAGCTAGGTTGATTGCAGGCAATTCTGATGCGTCCCAAATCGTCTGCTGGTAACCGGAGTTGGCTTGACGGACAGCCAGGCCACTGAACAGTCAGTTCGACTCAAAAGGCGCAGTGGAACCATAAACTGCGACCATAAAGCATAGGTCCGTGGATCGAAACCACGCTCTGCTACTCCGTCTTGAACTCGAGACAGTTCAATGCTTAAGGAGCGAACTTACCGGCCAGGAGGTCGGTGGTTCGAACCCAACCTCTGCATAGTATCGCAGTCTTCATGCTTTTTTCGGGCGGCATTGCAACTAAACACCGAAAGAGTACTATAGTTGGACGATTAATTTCAAAGGAAAAGCACCCAGTTGGCCTCTAATCTTGAGCTTTGAAAATCCCGTTCGAGTTCTGAAAACTACTGTACGGCGTGTGTAGACAGGAGGGCTTGAAAGAAGCGATCACGCCAGAGGACGAGCTCTGAAGAGAGCTCGGAAACTGACCAGTTGCTGCAGTCTCGTCCTTCGAACAGTAGGAAGAGAACGAAGTATTCAGGAACTGCAGGCCTAATCAGTTAAGTGACTATGGATTATTATGGTTGCTCGATTGAGTGGGAAATGGGGCATCCGCACACTGGGGCGAATCAAATAGTAAAATCGTTCTCAGCTGTAACATCCATTCAGTGCCTAGCTGCTATATTGCCCGAAAAAGGTACGACGGCTGAGATACTACTAGATCGCCCGAGCCTAGACAGAAGTAGTTGGGATACCGCGTTTGGATTCGAACCACTAACCTTCTTCCGGTCAGTAAGTTCGCGCTTCGAGATCAAGCGCAACTCAAAAAAGAATAAACTTCTACTTTTGACACCAACGTCACCATGGGGTGAATATCGGTGCCGAAAAGCCAGGTGGCGAAGAATTGGAGTAGGCGAAATAAACTGCTTTGTCATCTGGTTACCATGCGGCCACACAAGCTACCCTAAATGGGATTTTGGAGGTGGTCTATTATTCTGGCAAGTGTTTTGCGCATTCGAAAAGTAGAACAGTACTTCCCATTCGCTAGCATTTATTTAATGTCTCAGACCAGGGGTCTTGAGGGCTGAATGAAGCCAGTGCAAGCTTCATCAAGACAAGGACTACCTTCATTGACCAAACTGCGTCATGTACCAGAAACGACTTTTAATGAGACCTAAGGACCGTGCCTACAAGAAGACTGTGAGAGTAGTTTTAATCTACGCCTGTGAAACGTTGCGCCTCCGATTCGAAGGGTATTCAGACAGCTGACCACCGGTGCTTCCGCAGCAGAGCAGACGTCAGCTGACAGCAGTGGTGACCTGGTCAGCAAGTAGCGCTAAATCATGGGTCAGACTGCATGAGTGGTAGCTGAAGCTGGTTAAGACGGCTAGAGCCTGAGTTACGTCTTGGGTCCATCTCAGTTGGCGTTTTAGTGTGTGTCCAATTCAAGGTGGATCTCATCGCGATCTATGCCCCTGGCTGAGGCAAGCGGTAGCAATACGATGCAGCGAGATCTGGGAACGACGACGCTACCGATTGTGTATAAACTAAACATAGCTAACAAACATTAAGTCAACTTACCGGAACTGGTCTGCGTTCGCTACAACTTGAGGCGTTGTCGACAACGGAACTGAGGCTAAAAAGTGAGGAACATGGAAAGAAAGAAAGTTATAGAAAGGAACAGATAAAAGCATGGACCGAAAAACGAAGGCAATCTATTTTTTGGTTGAGCGAAGTGTGTGTGTGTGTGTGTGTGTGCACGCATTCAAAAACGATCACATACATCAAAAAAGACGAACACTCAAATGGTTAATTGGAAAATCATGTTGAAGTAATAGGCAGATTAGATTTTCACACGTTCCGAGAAGTGCAAATTGCCAAGAAGTGGCACATACATACACACACAAAGGTATGCGCACACATGTGTCTGAGCACGAGGGATGAATTCGGATTCGCTGACTTAATGAACACTCAGTAGGTGTAGCGTTGTGGACAGAGGAATAAGAGTGGTCAGTCATACGAAACAGCGATGAAGCACTGAGAAAAGAGCCAAACAACTATCAAAACACCCAGACCAAGACGGAAGAAACTGCAATGTCATAGGAAAACAGAGGGGAACCATAAAGTTCGACTAAAGAAAGAGCGTTTTTTCCATAGCATTTCTTAATCCTGGACGAGATTTTATCCTGAAGTTGGGGTTTTCACTGAGAGTCCAGGGACAGTATAAACATAAACATAAACTCGGGGACTGCGCCTACCTGATGAGCCCCAAGAGGAACGGCGAAATCGGTTGTGGGCTGTCGAAGAGTTTTCAGCAACCTTGTGAGTAGTTTCTTTCATGAAAACATTATAAAGCTGTTTCACCCTTAGAAGTAGTGTGTATTTCATGAATCACGACATATCTCGAACTCTCAACCGTCCAACTAGTTACGGAACGGTACAGCACAAATGTGAGTACCTTCCACTTTGAAAATAGCACACTATTCTCCAAGCAAACAGACCGCATGGTCCAGTACTATCGGCTACCTCAGTGGTGACTTCTCACATAGAAGGCTCATGCGCGCTGCAGTTTTATCACACGTAGATGAAGTTACAGCGAAGAGCGGCCCTTAAATTTGGGAAGCTCCCTAGTCTTCAAAATACGATTGACGTGTATTCGTCGGCGATCCTCTCTTTACTACACACATTCCTGCATCGAGAAAACCGACATCTCAACACACAAGGTCAGTTGAGTGGCAATACATCCTGGAAACACTGTACACCACGTAATCCACTTGATTTAAAGTATGTCTGGCAGTGACGAACCCAACAAGAGTTTCAGAAACGCCTTGTCACTAGCTTGCGTCCCTCCGACTGGAATGTATAATCAAGAGTCTTTTCGAGAATTATGAGTATTTGAGATGCTTCAGACACATCTTTCCTACATTGTCGGAGTGCACTAATTGTGGAACCGCGGGCCCATAATTACAAGAAATTAACATCATCACCCCCCGTCTGTCCTCATCACCACGTCACCTGGCGATAAACTTCATTGCAAGTTCCGGATCCCAACTTGACGTGATTCGTCCAGCTAAGCATTGTATTGGGATGCGGTTAGTACTATCTGAAACGGCTAGTCCGAGCACACATATGATCAGTTGTCAAGTGGTCATCGAGAGCAAAGCAATAAGCCAACGATGCGCACTTCAGTATGAGGCACTTCATGCCACAAATGTTCACGATATTCCGCCCAAAGGGTGAGGGAGCGGATTTCCCGGACAGTGTCTGATGGGCAGCAGCCGCGACAAGTGGTATCGTTTGGTTTGGTAACGTGGGCATGGAGCCAAGTGTAGAGGCGCCACACAGTGCTTAGAGCACGAATTTACTGAAAGGAAGGTCCGTGGTTCGAACCCAACCTCTACCTCTCGACCTCTCCTGTCTAGGCGTGGGCAAATAGGCAGTATCCCAGCCTTCGTGCTCCCCTCGGGTGGCACGGCAGCTAGGCACCGAAAGAGTGCTAGAGCTGAATGATTATCTTACATACAGAGAGAGAGAGAACGACCACCTTGATTGTTGCTGGTATGGAATGAGTAATTGCAATCCATGAACTATTCAGTGCGTAGTTAACTGACTCAAAACACGTCAACTCAAACAGGGAAAACAACTGTTATCGCAATTGTTTACACTAGTGGGGCGAGATGGTCCAAGTGGTTAGAGCGCGAATTTACCGACCGGAAGGTCGGTGGTTCGAACCCGACCTCTGCCACTCAACTTCCCCTGTCTAGGCTTGGGCAACCTGGCAGTATCCCAGCCCTCGTGTTTCCTCCGGGTGGCATGGCAGCTAGTGGCCATGTACATCGTTTTACTTATAGGAGATTAAATCTTGTCATAGGTCTATCAAGGAGAATCCTATTAAAGTATGAAAGGTCCCAAGAATGCATATAATACATAGATCGGCTTCCGTTCTGTAGGATACCAACCGATACGAGGGAGGCGGGACGAGAAAACGACAAATATATATAGGAATGTGCCCATGATGATCCGAGTAAGGAGACGACAGTTACTGTGGTTTTTCAACTTTCTCCACGTTCATTTGGTAATAAGCAAGCTATCGTTTAAGCAGTCCCACTAGCCCTGTGAGTTCGCGCCAGATGGGGAAGCACTGAACTCGAACTTCATCCTTATTAAACCCTTGACTGTGCCAGGGTTTAAACTCCCGACACTTGATATGCGAGGTGGACATGTGACCATGACTTCACCAATGAACGCAAGTCCCACTATGTGAGTTCGCGCCAGATGGGGAAGCACTGAACTCGAACTTCATCCTTATTAAACCCTTGACTGTGCCAGGGTTTAAACTAACTCCACTTGATATGCGAGGTGGACATGTGACCATGACTTCACCAATGAACGCTGAACGCACGTCTGAACAGGCGAACGGGCAGGTGCATGCATGAGCAGGCCCGTGGCGCTACCTGACTGAGAAGTGCTGACAAGCAGGTCAGGCGATCGACACAAAAAAGAACAGTTACCGGTTCAACGCTGAAAGCCGTCCGCAAAACAGTCACATCGCTAAAACCTGTTCAGACGTGATAACTCAAGTGTATCCATGATGCTGCGGTGCAGTAGTGGTGACACTCGCATGCCAGACGACTGGAGGGTGAACCCCGGCATGGCCAAAGAGATGCACTGCTGATGAGATCTAACAGGGGTAAAACTCGAGTCCTGTGCCTCTGGTCTTTGGAGCGAGCCAGGACAGTATGAGAACCGTCTGAACAAGTAATGTGAATTCTACAAACCCCCAAAGCACCCACCTATAGTAAATCAGCAAGATGTTTGAGAAAGTATCATCCAGATCCTCAGCAGTTCCAGTAAAATCGATCAACCTGTATGGTAAGGACCGAAAGTCACGGACATACACACCAGAAGAAAAAACAAAGCGGGGCTTGCCTGAACAACTGCAAACACTTGTTTCGCTCGTGTTTTGTCCAAACATCCACTCACAAGCTTACAACCGAATCAAGGATGGTCAGCTGGACACAGTTCGTAATGGTACAATGGTACAAACCTTTGTGTACTGCGTTCTTTAGTGGAGTTTACAATACCTGACGAATTGTAACTGGGACAGATGCAAACAATGGGAAACCTTACATTGGTAAGCAAAACGATTGTTTGCTCCCCGCTCCTCTCTCAAGTCGACTTTCCAGGAACATCCTCAGAATCGGTCGCAGATGAGAACGAAGAGTAGGAAAAACAGTTTCAATCCTGTGTGATTTTACCATAATTTAGAAAGGCCGTGTGCAAAGTTGTTACACATCTCAACTTCCCGGACGCAATGGCTGGAGAATATTGTATTCGTACAATATTCCGCTAGTCCAATCAGAGGAACAAGTGTTAACCAAAAACCGTGCGCAGCGAGAGATCCGAAGAGTTCCTGGTGCATGGCCAGTCAAGGTCGTGCACACGTGTGTGCGCGCTGGAATGCCGCTATAAAGATGTCCTTCAATTATAACACTGTACAGTCGAAACACATGTACGCGCATGGTCACACCATCTTGTGTTTTTCTCTACTATGCAACGGTAAACAATGAGGGTCACGTCATATGACATGCAACAAGCGAGCATTTCATCTCGGACTGCTGCCATCATATTGAACATCTAGTAAACGAGCGGCTTGATACAACACGCGAGGTTCCACAAACCGCGTGGACTACAGAGTGATCGGGGTTCAGATGCATTGGCTGTAATATGTCCGAATATCCGTCAACCACAGTGACCGCTATAATCCGAAGTTCATCTCAGCATTGGCATCCCTTCTGGTTAGTTAGAAGCTGGCCGGACGTGGACTGCATGGAGCAACCGAACGTCGTGATCCGGCTGCAGAATCACGGCTTGTCATGAACATCGAGGAATCAGAATCAAGTGCTCCCGGCTCGGAGTTTTTCGCATGCCACGGATATACTAGTGCAACTTTGCAGAAAATGATCTTATTTGGTCCCAAAACGGATCTTTTAGAGTTGCAGTGCCTCTGTCTCCAGACTTCTCTTGTCTAGGCTCGGGCAACCTGGCAGCATCCCAGATCTCGTGCTTACTTCGAGTGGCATGGCAGTTAGACACCAAGAGGGTGCCACAGTGTCTCTTGATATGCCGAATTTAGCGGAAAATCCCGCCAAATACCAGTACAAACCCCATACGACTGTAGAAAAAGAAGCTCGACAAAACTGGAACGAGCGATTAAACAGAAAATTAGTGAGCTACAGTACCCCGTGACATGTTCCTTTGACACCTGATGTTTGGATTACGCGGAAAAGATCGCTATTTACAAATTTATCCGAAACCTTTGCCGATCTTGCTTCAATATTTCGGTAGTATTGTCGACCTTTAATTTGAAAGTTATTAGAAAAATCCCTTTCACATAGAACGGCCAGAAAACTGTTATTTCCAGCCGTTTTTATACTCGGGAGACACTGCACCATACTTGTTTATCCAAAAACGTTCGTGTTTGTGTTGAGCTACGAAATCCAATCGGCTGTCATGAAATACCTTAACTGGAGGGCGGTTTTCCGGCGTATTTAGACAAACTGATGTGATTTTGCAAAACCATTAAGCGAAGTAAATGAATAAAGTGTCAATTTGGAGGAGATACATCCACTGAATGTCGTACAAACTGCACGAGCAGTAAAACACATCAATTCATTAGGAAAACGATGCTGAACTATTCAATATGCAATTTAAGAGTAAAATAGGCACACAAATCTTGGAATGAGACAAAATGAAAGTTGTCCGATCCTGATACTTGTTCAGCTTGGAGTAGTGAGACCTCGTGTCACCTTTCTGTTGTTGTGGTTCACATGTTATGTGCATTCACGGAACACCTCGAGAATTTGGACAAAAAGGGGTCAGGTGAAAATATGTGTAGGTCAGACTCACAACCAATGTACCCAACCTTCTATACTCAACCATCCATGGGGTGCGAAGAACGGTTGACGGTTCTAATGTAATAGTGTAAGAAGTAAAACCCGTTCAGCTATAACCTTCTTTCAGTGCCTAGTTGCCATGCCACTTGAAGGAGGGCTGAGCTACTGCCAGGTTGACCAAGCCTAAAATCGCACAGCTGTAGCACCCTTTCGGTTCACAGACCTTCAGTAAATTCGCGCTCTAACCACTTGGGCCATCTCGCCCCCAAGCCTTGACAGGACCAATCGAGATACCAGGCCTAGGATAGGATGGTCAGTAAATTCGCGGCTAAGCCAAGAGTCTATTAACCACACCGTTCGGAAAATCAGTTGTGTGAAGCATTGCACAAGGGATGTAATATTGAGATGGTGAGAAAAAAGTTCATCTTACCCCACTCTCGAACAATCCCTATTAGGTGCAAGAAGGCCACAATTCGCATCGATAGGGACTGTAGCAGAGCCTGTAAATGCTCTTTTCGGTGGCAAAGGGTAATCCACATCTGGAACAGAGGCTGCTGACAACTGATGTTGCTGCGCAGTTACCATACTGGAGGCAAACGCGGGTGCGCTGCCAACAGTGGGCTCCGTGGGAAAACGTCGTCGGAGAGTGTCCGGCTTACGATCCACTACCGGATTGCTGAGCGGTTGCTGTTGCGAATAGGGAGGATTCGAATGCAAGGACGATCCGCCCTGACAGGAATACACATCCAAACAGCCAGATTGGCCGGAAACGGAGAGCGACTGTCGAATGGATGAGTCGGAAGATACACTGGAAAGGATAGAAAAACAGTGAGATATTGGAATTTTTGAACAGAATACTATGAGTGAAACATGCCAGCGAATGAAAAAGCATAACACCCAAGAGCAGGCAGCAACCCTACCCCGGGAGCGCAATACATGAATCGGAATGCTAGCTAGATACCCAAGATCTAATTGTCATCCACCCGTCCTTGGTCGTCTAGAGTAATTGACAGTGCTTACGTCGAACGGAAGGGTTCCTTGATCATGGTAGATGGTTAAAAGGAAGACTGCAAGCCAACTCAAAAATGACTTACACACCCGAGGTGGTTCCTGCTGTGATTGGCACGATAATTTTCGGTTTAGAAACTCCCGCCAAAGAACCAAAGCGATAATCAAAGGAGCGCATGTGTGTGTATGTTATGATCCGATGTATTTCAAAAAGGAGGGAGCCGGCGAACATTGTAGTGCCGTGCTGATAATGATGTACGCAATCTAAGCTACTGATCAGAAAAGCCGTTGATCCGCACCCAATCTATGTTGTTCATCATTCCAAGTTCCTGGACTAGGTTGCCGGCCGGAAAGATTTGTCACGAATGAAACAGGGGACTAATGAAGAAAAATTGTCACCACCGCTTAGGTGACAATCCACAACACTAGTGTTCAAAGAGTTCACCTTCTATCTGGGCGCAATTGGTCTGGTTAGTCCATTCCAAAGAGGAAAGGCACTGGATTCGAGGCTCGCTCCGGGGTTCGAATCCCGGCATGAGCAAGATATACCACCGATGAGGTCTAGGATGAGAGAACCCCGAGTTCAGTACTCCTCAACTTTGATATATACAGAGTTGCACCCGGACAGGAGGGGGACTGTTCAGAGTGACCACCGTAACCGCCTACAGATAAATGAAAACTTTTTATTTGCAGTTTTTACAAGAGTACTGTTGACATCCTTCCCTGAAAGTCTACGCGGGTATAATCAACAGTTTGGGATGCGAACCTCCGGTTTCTCGATGAGTTGCATGCCCACCTAAAGCCAAAACGTACGACAGCTGTTTTGACCGAAGTCAAATCTGTGTAACTTAGTCACTGTTACTCCTACTCATGTTATTATTCAAGAATGAGAGTAGGTCAAAGTGATGACAGTTGCACCCAACATGTGGTAGGTCCCTTAAAGCTGAGTAGCATCAGTCAATTCTCAAAACTGGCCACCTGAAAAACTCCCATTAATGACTAGTCACGGAGTTTTTCATATGCAGTTTCGAAACTAAAGTGCCAGAGTCTGTACTGAATCGAATCTCTTCACCACCACCACCACCCGTAACCAGAAAAACTGAGCGACGGAAAGTAATCAAACATAATCGGAGTGCAGTACTTACCGACGCCATTCGGGACCACAGACGGGCTGTGGGGTTGCAAGATTGTAAGAAATCTCGGGACCCTTGGAAAACGAACGCTCGTAAAGACGTTCCCGAGAATCGGGATGAATTCGCGAGGGCGGTGAACTCAAATCCAGGTAGACCGAAGTAGTGGCGGTCGCAGCACCGGTGGACGTACCACTTGGAAGTGGCTCGACGCTATAATAGGGGGAGGATACATTCCAATGTCCAGAACAATTGGAAATATTATACATACTGCGAGACGAGGGTTGTCCAGGACTGGAATGTTGCCTCATCACGCCTTCATTAGAGTGGAGTCGACGGTAGGTTTGGAGTGTATCGTAGACGGTGTTCGCTGGGAGGTTGAAGTCCGAAGTTCTGCCAAACGGTGCAGGAGTAGCTGTGCTGGAATGCACAGAGCATAGAGTCGTGTGTGAAATGGCGGTGCGGATACCATTGACTGGGTGGGCCATTTGCCATGGAGTAAGGCTGGATGAATTCGCTTGACACACCATGCGCGAAGTCATATGGTTTACTGTACTAGGAATGGCGGCATCCGTTTGAGACCGGGGATACATACCGTTTGGCCTTGGTGTGGGTGTCACTATGGGTGGATGACTAGGTAGGGAAAATGATAAGATTGCATCAGACCATACGTGAAGAGTCTGTTTTATTAGTCCAAAGTGACATAGAAAGTGATAAACGCTTCAAGCCCTACTGATCTCCAATCGAAGGTCACTTAGCATATTGAAACGTTAATTTAACAAAGTGAACCAGAAAGAGCGACACGTATTCATATCCTTGCCGTGCTTGTTAAGCAGGTAGAACTATCACCGGGGAGATCAGTGCCAGACTTCTTCGGAGGGAGGGGTTAATTCACGCTCGATGCTGACTGACGAAGAACGCTCTGCTGGGCTACTCAAAAGGTGTATATTAAGGAGAACGCTTGTAGTACTGTCACGCGAGTCACGCCTCAACTAAACTTGACAATCTGCCGCCAAAAGTCATAATTCAACGGTATTACTGGCCTCCTACAAGAAATCTCCATTCAAGAGGTATTCCCGGTTGAGTGAAAGCTAGGCAGGAACTATGCGGGGCCACCCATCAAATTCAAGCAGTCAGCATCTGTCCAGATCGTCTAAATCTGAGTGCTGGAGGTGTAGCTACTTCCCTGTCCCATTTTCTCCTTCCTTCCTTTAAAAGAATTTATGCGATGAAGTACCAGTGCTCTGCTATAGTCAGAACCGTCAACCAACTATCAAGTAGGTAATAAGCACGAAGCGCTGCATTTTTGAACCTATTCAAATAGCCTTTCCAACTCCGTTCACAGAACCATAAAAAGACCCAAAATTCAACAGGCCACTTTCCGGTAAAAAATTGTTTTAATGCCTATCTGAAAAGACAAATAATACCATAATAAAATAAAGTTTCACAACTAAATTTCAATTGGAAGGTGAGATTCAGCTCAACGGATTAGTTACCTCTATTCCTCAGTGAGCTGATGTAGTGATGTAGTGTAGTGGTCGAGGGGTTTCGATGTGACAACCCTAGTGTCAGTATTCTGTCACTGTGTCTGGTCAGAATGGTGCGGGCTTCTGAAAGCAGCAACATCTGGTGAATGGGTCAACCAGAATCGTTTACTTATGCTCTCAACGATAATCAGTAGTACGTCGAGCCTGACAACAGTAGTGTTAAGCGTGAAACCTCAACAGGAAAGGGGATTTAGGCTCTGCGAAGGACTCGCATAAGAAACAGTTCAGTTTATCAGACATAAACCATGTACAAATGGTAGGCTGGTTCCAGATGCTACAGCTTCGATCGCGGGAGAATGGGAGAGTGAGGGAGATGGAGACAAACATTGAAGGTGGACAAGTGCCACTGACTGCGCGACTGGGCCATTTCTGTCAGTGTCAATAACCACTGGTGAGTTGGATCCCAAAGTCCAGGAAAGCGGCAGGGGAGAGATGGCCTAAGTGGTTGGAGCGCCAATTTACTGACCGGAAGGTCCGTGGTTCGAATCCCACCTGCGACTCTCGACTTCCCCTGTCTAGGCTTGGGCAACCTGGCAGTATCCCAGCCCTCGTGCTTCCTTCGGGTGGCATGGCACCGGAAGGGTGTTACAGCTATTGGCTAGTGTTTTTATACTTCGTTTTCTAGCCTTCGATCACTTTCAGTCAGAACAAGGCCGGACCAAAACAGCTCTGGCATGCGGACTACAGGTCCGATGAAACGAGCAGTTGACTCATTGTGGTAGAGTCCCTTTTCCCTTAAACCATCTTGGCGTCACTCTGCAGTGCTAATCCAATGTTCCAAGCAGACTCGATCAACGCTTCGGAAACCGAGGCGCAACTGTTGCGGTCCTAAACCGATGTTCAGTATGGCCGTATTCGGAGTTACCGTTGAAAAGCTATGTTACTAGAAACGTGGATTCCTTCCATGGATAGCCTGCTTCGTAAACGAGTATCAGTATACACCCTACTTCCCGTGAAGTTTTTAGGTCCTAGATTTTCTCGCGCTAGATACTAATCAGGACAACCTTCGGAAATGGGTAAATATGACGGGGCCATCTTGTGTACAATTTTGCAAAATGGTGTTTTGTCGCAACAGACAGTCACACGAGGTATGTGAATGGGGCGAAATTCAATTGCAAGACTGCTCTTGTCCGCACGAACGACAATCTCTCATACAATGTGTCAAATAGGGAAAAGTGTCTATCTAGGTGACATGGAAAATCGAATCCTGGAAACATCACAAACGAGAGGTTCAGCTGGGCTCCAGGTGGGTCTCTCGAAAAACCAAATTAGTTTGCAAATAAGTGTATATTCACTAATTTCGTGCAACTTCGTTTTAAGGAGAACATAAGGTTGACGGAAATCCGGGGACTGCACCTGCCTGATGAGCCCCAAAAAGGGCGGAACCGGTCGTGGGCTGTCGACGGATTTTCAGCAAACTTATGAGTAGTACGTTACGAATCACTGCTCGTTAGCAGGACAGAGGGGACGACTTCCAGGAGAGAAAAAATGCACTTGAACACGAGGTAGAATAATTCAGAACGAGGCAAAAATCAGGCGATTTAAAAATAAAGAGTAGAGTAAAATGCGAGCTCCGTCTAACGGTTATCCCGGTAAAGGCAACAGGACAAAGCTCATGCTGGCACAGACATCAAAGGTGGGGGACGAGATGGACCAAGTGGTTAGAGTGCGAATTTACTGACCGGAAGGTTCGTGGTTCAAACCTGACCTCTGCCTCTCGACTTCCCCTGTTTGGTTTGGGCGGCCTAGCAGTATCCCAGTCCTCGTGTCTCTTTCATGTGGCATGACAGCTAGGCACCGAAAGGATGCTACAGCTGGAAGATTTTTTTTACATCATAGGTTGTCGGTCAGGGGAACGCAGTAACGAGGTTGGTGAACAGACAGAACTCCGAATCACTTGATGAAACTGATTGCTAATATATATTGTGGAGCATGGCCCGGCACAAATGAAACTGGGGGAACATAAGCCGTTTCCCCAATGGATGGGAAATCGCGCGTTTTGAAAAAAAGCTGGGGATAGCACGGGGACAGGTAGCAACCACTACGTGAAGTGTGAGAATGTCAGCCTGGAACGGAAGATCGCGAAGCGGTCCACGAACAACTTGGCGGCGAAGTAGAAAGGCCTTAGCGGTCGGATGGTATCCAGAGGACGGTGGTTGTTTATGGATAGAAACTGGTGCAAGACCGTGCGCAAGAGCTTTACTCCAATATTTCCTCATATGCTCGCGCATTTTAAAATCTTTTCGACGTCACTTACTGACAGGCATGACGGACAGTCCGAAGTAAATTCTAACCAACAATGGAGTGGTAAAAGATAGAAGGTGCGTGGGCAGTCTGTGACCCAGCAGTCGCACTCACGAAATAAAAGGCATTAGGGTTTTCTCGGAGAACTATGTCCGGAGCCAGTGAATCAACAATCAAAAGCTGTTCACTCTGAGGGCTTACATAACCCAGGGACTCAGGTAGTTAGGCTTAGTTGTGATTCCTAATGAACTCAGAACGTACATGTTAAATAGCACCAGACTCAGATTTAATAATAGGTCGGCGGACGATCGGTTTTTACGATTGACCCCTTTTAACCTGTCCTTCCACGGAGAAAGGCAGAATTGCTGCTTCCATAAGTGTGGACATCCTGATACTCTTTGGGAAATACTTTGCTGTTCTCTGTGACCCAGCAGTCGCACTCACGAAATAAAAGGCATTAGGGTTTTCTCGGAGAACTATGTCCGGAGCCAGTGAATCAACAATCAAAAGCTGTTCACTCTGAGGGCTTACATAACCCAGGGACTCAGGTAGTTAGGCTTAGTTGTGATTCCTAATGAACTCAGAACGTACATGTTAAATAGCACCAGACTCAGATTTAATAATAGGTCGGCGGACGATCGGTTTTTACGATTGACCCCTTTTAACCTGTCCTTCCACGGAGAAAGAAAGGCAGGCTGCTTCCATAAGTGTGGACATCCTGATAGTCTTTGGGAAATACTTTGCTGTTCTCGCACTCTTGTCGTAGAAGAATGCCCCCTACTGAGGTTAATCGTCTAACTGCTACTCTCCGGCCTTCTTGGCGATGGCTGAATCTAGTGGAATAAAAGTCCAGTCAATGTCACTCGAGGACTCGTTGCAAAACTGTGACAGGTTTTGGTCGAGATCATAGCATGCATGGGGATTTGTTTTGGACGTAAAAGTAGGATCATCTCACCGTTCTTGTTCATTGAAAAGCGATCATCCTTATTTACACCTCTCAAAATGAGAACAGTTGTAACTCATTATCTATGATGGTATCAAGACCTACTTTCTATCCCAAGACATCAAGATCCCGACACCTTCGTAGCAAAGGTGGAGACAGGCATATGCAAATAACGAAAAAACACTCACGGAGTACTGATCCCTGAAGACACAGGTTGGTCGAAACGCCAAGGATGAGTAGTACCCGGAGTAGTGCGCGTGTGAACCGGCGAGGATAGCAGAGTGGATAGTCGCTCATTTGAGTTAGTCTGTGCTCTCGGTGTGGGAGTAGGCTGGAGTGTCTGCGCTGGAATTCCAGAGGGAGGATGGCGAAGTTCCGTTGCTGTCCCGCTAGATACAATGGTGGACTGTGCTCGTGGAGGGCATTCTTGGTTGACCGAAAACTGCAAAAATAAAAACGATAATTGGAAGTGACAGTAGCTGTACGGACCATGGCGGATACAGATTGACCGAAAACTTTATGGGATGTTTGCTAACAATTCAACACTGGGCCAGTAACCATATGGAAACCGGCATTCCGTTCTGCCCAAACAGTATGATGTAGTGTTTTGAGACAAACAAGAACAAGACCATACAAGATATGCGTTCAACTGAATTGGGTATATTCGACAAAGAATTGAGCGATGATATTCGCAGACGTGGCGTACAATTCAACTTCGCTATTGAGGGTCATCAAGCAGATTAGCTCGGATAATGTTTCTTGGAGAAAAGTTTTATCTAGACACCTAGCCCCCTATCCATTTAAGGAAGCTTACGCGCCAAACGCTTATGTACATATGACGACCCGTGTTTCAATCTAAACCAGGCTTATTAGTGGAAACCCACCACCCAAATTAATAGAAGAAAGAAACTGTGGTCTGGTTCACACCGGGGCGCGTTTTAGCCTATATTGTATCGGCAGTTGAAAATACTGAAGAGAGAACAAGGAAGTGCTATCCCTTATCCCTTTCCATGACATCATGCAGATAAAAGGAAAATTATGATGACAAATACAAGAGGTGGGGACAGATCACACCCATTGTGACGCAGCGGTCCGTACATAGGTCAGTCTCAGCGATAAAAAGCGGTGGACAGACCGACGCCGCCGCCAGGCGGAACGTATCCAGGTCAGCCCACGTCGAACTTGTTACTGACTTTTCACAAGGGGAGGTGTTGGGGATATCAATATCCCTAAAAACTCTGTATCTTTGTGTGTGGTGATAAACTTTCGGCATTTTAAAGATCAAATTATGGATATATATACCTTGTCATTTTTCCGCTATTGCCTGTTAGTCGCTTGTAGATAGGGGCACTACAATGAAGTCCACGGTTTCGTCCTCTTACTATTCCGCTGCACTAGGAGTCTGGATCAGGTAACCTAGCCGGGGATAGAATACCGTCATAGTCCGCTCATATTATCATGCACTGCGTTATCGAAACCGTAACACAAAGATAGTCGGAAAACTACATCACTTAAACTATCCTACTATTCCTTGTAAGCGAGGTACATCTAACAAAAACGAAGGATCAATCGTGTGCGTACTGAGCTTGAAAGGCAGTTGCTTGAAATACTGTGTGCTGCCCATAGCAATACCTGCGCCTAACTATGCGTTTGGATGCACTGCTTAGCTTGTTTGCGGGTTGTGAGTCGTTCCGGTTGTTGCCTGATCCACAGCTGAAAACACCGCCTAAAAGGTGCGTTGGTTTTGGTTACTAACGAGGAGAATAATCGTTCAGCTTCAATGAGCTTTCAGTGCATACCGGCTGTGAAACTAGAAGGACCAGAGAGGACGGGAAGCGAGGTTTGGATTCAACCAACTAACCTTCCAAATGGTAACTTGGTGTGTGGTGAAGAATCCCGGATTAGACAATCGACGACCTACCAGAGTTGTAAGATGAGTAGGGCACCAAAATTGATCCGACAGTCGCCGGAGGGTAATCGCCGAATCTTTCCAGTTTGTTTATTGTTTATTGGAGTTTCTCGGAGCAATGTAGGAATGGGGTTTGTTTCCACCGACTCGAACATTCAGTTGTCTATTGGTATTCTCGATACCGGCACAATCGCAATCGACAGAGTCAACGTTATAAACCCAGTTGTTAACCAGATCCCCAATGTCACCAAACTGTCTGTTCAACGCACTGTCCACCAGTTGTGCGAGTGTCAAAGATGGATAGCACGCGGCGGAGTAGGTGTCAGTGTGAAATACACGCCGTATCAGCTAGTTTGATCGTTCAGTTGGTTACTGCACCAGGATTTAGAGGCTGTATAGTGCGATGAATAAACAGGGAAGGATACCTAGCGTCACTTGGAGCCAGTCTAATATGAGTGATTTCGTGCTCGGTATATTACTGGGCGCTACATACCAGCGTGTGAATCATTCGTTTCATGCTTAAAAGATAGGTATAACTTTGGTTCAGCTGGTAACCTGAAGAAGTTGGCTTGCGGCTGACTTTGGTTTCCAACTGATTGTTATTCCTCGAAACAAGGCAGTGAACGCAATAGATTGTCCTGTTTTCAGTTCCATGCTCGACCTATAATCCGACTAAGTTACGGAATGAGTGGCTGTAAGATAAAAACTAGTTCACGAACTGGCACGACGGAGGTATCATCAACGTGTCTGAGTTACAACCCTGGTGGCCGAATAAGGTCATACAGCAGCTATGGTTTAAGGAGTGCAAAAACAGGGGACTACATCAGTTTGACGTTAGAGACTTCGATGATAAAAAGGAACTCACAAACTTGAGGCTTTCAGAAATTTTAGGTACGGAAAATGTGCAGCTTTTTAGAGTAGGGTCCCGTTCCAGTAAATTAGCAAGGAAAGGCTGTCGGTGACAGAGGAAGGACGCCTAAGCTGATAAGAGATTAAACGTCCTCAACTGCTAGTCGTCTGAAATCCCTGGTATGACTCCCAGACCTAAAGCAATCACTCTGTCGTGGTGTTCTGGCTTCTGTACTGCAAAGGTTCTACAAGCTATGTTGTCTAGAACTCAAGTTCAGTAGATTCAACCATGACAGGAGGACAAATGGGGAGCATCCCAACGAATAACAAAGAATTGCAGGACTGTGAGAAACCGCATTACGAAGTGGTCTGGATGTAAAGTCGTGCTATCCTCTGTGATAGGAGTGCGAAAGCCGTAAGGCGTTTCCTTCGGGATACCAGCATGTCCATACT